ATATCAGCAGCAAGTGTTGCTGTCCACTTCGTCAACCGGACGTTTATGCGTCATGTGACTGCAAGCCACATGACGCAGTTGCAATTCCAGCTGGATTCGTCTGCATATCTGGCATCCCGAGTCAGGGAGAGTGGGAGAGGTTGCAGTACCACTTTTGGCCAGATATTTACATACTTCTCGTTTAAACACACAACATGGTAAAATAAAATCAAAACAGACGACATTCCAACAAATGCGCTCGCAACTATTTTCGCAATTTTTGTTTTTTTTGTCACATACAAAGTTAACACCACGGTCAATTACATGTAGTGAAATGAAAAAATGAAAATAATGAGAATCAGCTCAGAATGGAAGACACGCTCAGTCCTTGAAGACCTCCTCGCTGAACCCGTCATCACGGTTCTCTCGCCTGAATATAAGTAGATTTAGGTCGGCGTTCCGGCTCCTGATTGCGCGGCCACCCCTCGTAATGAGCCGCATTACCGGGCTGATGACGGGAGATTAGGGCGAGCTCAGCAGACGCCATCCGCCTCCGTGATGAGAGACTCCCACGGACGAATAAGTGCAAAAGTTTGGGTTTAAGACATTTGGGGGAGATGATGTTGTTGCACAGTCTGGCCGTGGTTTTGATTCCACCTCCAGGCCTTTCTAAGTTAGTAAGTAATTTTTATTTATATAGCGCCTTTCACAGACTATCGTCACAAAAAGTCTCTCGTTCCACACAGAGAGCCAGATGCTAAGCCTATTTCACATGTTTCTTAGTGGTAGGGGAAACCGGAGCACTTGGAGGAAACTTACGCAAACACAAGGAGAACATGCGGACTCCACTCAGAAAGGACCTGTTCCGACCGGGATTCGAACCCAGGATCCAGAACCCAGAAGCGAGAGTGCTATCTACTTTCCGTGTGGAGTTGTGCGTATGCTCTTCCTGTGTTTATGTGTATGTTTCCTCCAGGTGCTCCGGTTTCCCCTACCAAACTATTAAGTAAGAGGGCCACTTTAGTTCACCCGACTTGACAATTGGAATTTAAAATGTCAGTCAACATTCGGATTTTAAAGGTTCTGAGCTTTAAAGCAAGGTACAGCATCACTTTATTGGTGGAGCTTAAGCTGGTTGAATGACACTGTGAAAGTACCTCGAAGACTAGTTTAGGTTAGCGCCAGAGGGCCGCAGAAAATGACACAACAGGGCCTTAGTTTGGACACACCTGACAATAATCTTCCAATGCTACATGTGGGGCCAGGAAAAAATGTATTCGGAATTTCCTGGTTAAATAAAAAAGAACAAATGGTGAAAATTGAGGTCAGTAAGATTTAAAATTGCGTTGGAGTAAATTAATCGAAAAGAATATTTGATTTTGTTAGTTTTTGGAAAGAACGTAGAACTGAATATGAGCGGAAAAGAAATGGGAAAAATCTATACCAGGGGTCGGGAACCCAAAATGTTCAAAGAGCCATAATTGACAAAAAAACTAAAAAAAACGTCTGTCTGGAGCCGCAAAAAAATAACAGCCTTGTATAAGGCTTTTATGAAGTTAACACAGGCTGCAAGATGTATTAGCTATATTAGCCTAATATCTAAATGACAAAGTAAAGGCTACAAATACATAATAATCATTCATTATTTTCACTGCAGCGTGTCGTGAATGACGCAACACGTGACAACTCTGCTTTAGTTTAACTTCCATTTTTTTGCCTTCATTACCGTACAAATACGGTAAATAAATCTGCTTTGGGCTCAGAGGTCACCTGCATCACTGTCTGCTCATATCCATCACGACACAGGCTGAAGTTTGCTGGAGCTGAATTAAAATCCTTAATGGCCGTTTCTTTCACCGTCTTTGAGAAGGTTTTGAAGTCTGAAAGTAGGTGCTCTGAATTTTTGATGAATGAATCCTTCACGTAATCACCGTTTACGTCGTTTTGCGCGTCATTGTTCCTCGTGTTGCAACAAAACTTTTCATTACAAACATGAAGCAGTCCTTCCTCATTGACTGAAAGAAAATGTTCATTCTCATTCTTAGTCCAGTCTTGTTATCGAATCTTTCTCGTTTTAGCTTTGGGATCCATGTGCACTTACAGTCTATGATGCACACACGCCGGTTTGTTTACAACAGCGGCCGCATGGGGCGGGGCCGCGTGACCGCGCGTCATACGTCGACAGAAATGTTGAAATTACTTATACACATTTTTACAGCATTTAAAAACGTTGTTTTTAGCATTTACAGCATTTAAAAAAGATTGTTTTTCCTTCTACAGAAACCACATTCAAACTAGAAATAAAATATAGCCCTCACACTCCATTTTCAGACATGTTTGAAAAGGCTCCAGGAGCCACTCCAGGAGGACTCAAGAGCCGCATGCGGCTCCGGAGCCGCGGGTTGCCGACCCCTGATCTATACCAATGCTTCTGTTTCAAAACAACAAAGAATGAACAAAATCGTCCAAGGATTTGTTTGGAAGCATTTTTCACCTAAAGTTTTACAGTTTATAGATTCTCAAACTCCTGCCTGTGAATCAAATACAGAAAAAAAGATACACAAGTACAAAAATAGAAACATAATTTGGGTGTGTTCACAGTAAAGTGTCTGGACTTTAAAAGGTTATAACCCAAAAACTGAATTTGTTATTAAGATTTCAAACACAGACAGATCAAAGAGAGAGTGTGGATAAAATCAAAAGGAAAGATTGAAAAATACATTTTTGCCAACATTTTTTTTTTTTTTTTAAAGATCAGCCTCTTTAAAAAAACTCAGTGTGACTCAGTGACAAAGATGAACTCCCACGGATTAACATTAACACAACATCAGGAAATCATAAACGTGATGGTTTCCGCCAATTTTTTTCTAAAAATTAAAAAGAATCAAATGTGGATCTGAAAATATGTAACAAACTTGTTCAGCTCATTCAAAGGATCAGGTCCTTTACATAAAATGGGCTGCTTTAAACTGGACTAATACATAACTGTTATAACTCTACTGGACAGAGGAAATATTTGGGTATATGAAAAGTAGAATATAAGTTCTGATCATTAAAATCTATATTTGGCCTCTGTCACACTTTTGTCCCCTTTAGTGTGAACAAACCCAGATAAAAGAAAAAAATAAAGTGTATGGGGACGTAGTGTGAGGTCTGCTGCGTTTGTTTTGATTAATGTGACATTTTGAACTACGCCTAAAATAGATCTTTGCTTTAATCATCCCCTTAAAAAAAACATTGTGAATGGTTAAAACTTTAAAGTGGCAAAATGTAAGATTTCCATGTCAGGTCATCATTAAAGGAGCAGTATGTAAAGATCTGCCTAAAAAATGGTACTGCAGCCTCTCCCACTCTCCCTGACTCAGGTTGCCAGATATGCAGACAAATCCAGCTGGGACCATAATATCTGAATAGACAAGAGTTTTTTCAACTACTCTATAATCTATAACCAACACCTTTTTCACAAAGATAAAAATCCTGGTTTTATTCTTTGTTTTGTTGTTAATGATTTGAGAATCATTAAAAGATCTCTTTTTACTTCTGCAGCCACATGGCACTTTACCAGTGAGATTAGCTTGACGCTGTGAGTTCTGGCGCCCGGATCACCGACTTTCTGATTGGTGAAACGGTGGAGGGCGGGACATCGAAATGAAAACAATAACAAGATTTAGGGGCTGTAAAACTAATTTTGAATTTCAAATATCGCTGAACTACTGTTATCATTTAAAGAAGTATTGAAACAAGCATGTTTTATTAAAGCCTTTAGACAGCTTAGGGCCCTTTAATGATGACGTGACATGAAAATCTTACATATTGCTACTTTAAATGGCCCTTATCGCCTCAGTCCTGCGATGATGAAGACAGGGGGTGAGTGTGAGAGAAGGTCGTCCGCTCTTAAACCCTGATGCGCTCTCTACAGGCTGTTTGTCACCGCGACCCGCCCAGCGTGGCCCCGGGGTCATCTATCACCGCTGCTGCCGGGCCCCGTGTCCTTGGACAGGGGCCATTTGAGAGGGGCCCGCAGAGGTCAGCCGGTTCTGTGGCTGTGAGAGAGAATAGACTGAGGCTGGATGCATCGGATGTGAGCGAGAGAGAGAGAAAGTCAGATGGTTCAAGGTGAAAAAGACAAGATGTTGTAATTTGGTCTTAAAGATCAAAACTTAAAGTCGAGCTCGATGATGAGCTAGACTGAGGTCAACGATGGAACTGTTTCTTTTGAGTGTGTGAGAGAAGGAGCAGAGAGAGAGCAGAGAGACAGAAGAGAGAGAAAAGAGAGAGACCAGAGAGACAGAAGAGAGATAGGTGAGAGAGAGGAGAGATACACCAGAGAGAGACTAGAGAGAGAGGCCAGAGAGAAACTAGAGAGAGACCAGAGAGAGACCAGAGAGAGAACAGAGAGAGAGACTAGCGCGATACAGACCCGAGAAAGAGACCAGAGAGAGACACGAGAAAGAGACCAAAGAGAGGGTGTTTAGTGAAAGGGGAAGAGGCGCTCAGGCAGACAAAAACTGCAGCAAGTTTTTGAAATCAGAAAAACTTTTAGACACACATAACCAATCAAAATGAAATAAAAAATCAAAATGGGAAAATCCAATTCCACCTGATTTCTCAAACTGTTTTTTGTTCAAAATTTAATAAAACGTTGTATATTGTAACTATTTCTTCGATTCGCTTATTCGATTGACTAGACTTGGATTCTCTTCAATCATGTTTTATTTATAAAAGAAACAACAGAGAGATGAACTTAAGGATTCAGTCCAAACTTTCAACTATCTTTTTATATTTGGAGACTGTCGACTTCTGTAATAACTCTGAACGTCAGGAGCCACTGGGGACGGATGCACAAAAAACGACTTCACGTTGTTTGAATTTTCTATTTATTTTCTATTTCTAGAATAAATTGGAGCAGAATGGTTGAAAATATGTGGGGAATTGAAACAAAAAGAGCATAGTATTGTCACGGAAGCAAAGTCTAAGTGTTGTGCTACAATCCTGGACTCTATCCTTCAATAATGTACTTTTTAGTTCATCTGGGTCCGGTTGGGGTCTGGGGCCACCTCTCTCTTCTTGGTCCGGTTGGGGTCTGGGGCCACCTCTCTCTTCTGGGTCCGGTTGGGGTCTGGGGCCACCTCTCTCTTCTTCGTCCGGTTGGGGTCTGGGGCCACCTCTCTCTTCTTGGTCCGGTTGGGGTCTGGGGCCTCCTCTCTCTTCTGGGTCCGGTTGGGGTCTGGGGCCTCCTCTCTCTTCTTGGTCCGGTTGGGGTCTGGGGCCACCTCTCTCTTCTGGGTCCGGTTGGGCTCTGGGGCCTCCTCTCTCTTCTGGGTCCGGTTGGGGTCTGGGGCCACCTCTCTCTTCTTCGTCCGGTTGGGGTCTGGGGCCTCCTCTCTCTTCTTGGTCCGGTTGGGGTCTGGGGCCTCCTCTCTCTTCTGGGTCCGGTTGGGGTCTGGGGCCACCTCTCTCTTCTTCGTCCGGTTGGGCTCTGGGGCCACCTCTCTCTTCTTGGTCCGGTTGGGGTCTGGGGCCTCCTCTCTCTTCTGGGTCCGGTTGGGGTCTGGGGCCACCTCTCTCTTCTGGGTCCGTTTGGGGTCTGGGGCCTCCTCTCTCTTCTGGGTCCGGTTGGGGTCTGGGGCCACCTCTCTCTTCTTCGTCCGGTTGGGGTCTGGGGCCTCCTCTCTCTTCTGGGTCCGGTTGGGGTCTGGGGCCACCTCTCTCTTCTTTCGTCCGGTTGGGGTCTGGGGCCTCCTCTCTCTTCTGAGTCCGACTGGGGTCTGGGGCCTCCTCTCTCTTCTTGGTCCGGTTGGGGTCTGGGGCCTCCTCTCTCTTCTGAGTCCGACTGGGGTCTGGGGCCACCTCTCTCTTCTTGGTCCGGCTGGGGTCTGGGGCCACCTCTCTCTTCTTCGTTCGTTTGGGGTCTGGGGCCTCCTCTCTCTTCTGAGTCCTGTTGGAGTCTGGGGCCACCTCTCTCTTCTGGGTCCTGTTGGAGTCTGGAGCCTCCTCTCTCTTCTGGGTCCTGTGGGGGTCTGGCTCTTGGACCTGGTGGGGGTCTGGGTCCTGTAGGGTTCTGGGGCCTCCTCTCTCTCTCCTCTGGGTCCAGTATCATCCCCTTTGGCTGCAGGTGGCTCTCTGCTCCTTCTGCAGACGGCTCCTCGGACGGTGCTTCCTCAGCTGTTTACGCTTGCACTCAGCCTAATGCTTTTTTCCCCTTTTGTGTGTGTGTGTTTGTGTGTACGACTTTTACCCAAACACATCCTGATGATTGGAAGTTAAACGCTGCATAATGACGAGAAAAATTCATTCCTCTCTAAATCTAGACAATCCCACTTATGTGGAAATTAGCTCCTGAGCTCTAACCTGGTACGATGCATCTGTAAAAGCCCTTTGAGGTGAATGTTTATTGCACACTGCCCCCGTCATCTTAAACTAAACTAAACCCATTGTGTGCTGCCCGCCTGTCGCCTGCTTAGCATTCCGGCCTCTCCTCGCTCTGTGTAATCACCGCTCTGAACAGACAGTAATCAGGCTTCGCGGTCCGGGTGCCCTGATTGGGAAACACATGTTGGCCTCCACTGATGGCAGCTGCAGTCTGAGTTGTAGACATCGCCCTTCGCCTTTTTATCACATACATTATCTATTTTTTCTTTCTTTTCTGTTTTTTCTTTTTCTTTTTAACTTCATATATGTCATCTCTCTTTGTTTATTTTCTGCTTTTTCTATTAGTGTTATTTTTTTTTTTTCAAATAACTGAGCCCGTTCCGCTGTGTTTGAAGTTGGTTTGAAGTGGCCAAACATCCTGTCAAACCTCTGAAGCTAAGCAGGGCAGGGCCTGGCTAGTACTATAATGGGAGACCTCTGGGAACAGCAGGTGCCACAGTGGGGCGGTTGCAGCTTAAAAGTGTCAAACTGTGGTTGTGTCCTTTAGCAAGACACTTCACTCACATTAAAATGAGTCTGGTGTGTGTGTGAATGATTGGTGGTGGGGAGAGGGACCGATGGCACAGACTGGTTGCCTTCCTTCTGTCAGTGTGCCCCAGGGCAGCTGTGGCTATAGTAGTAGTTTAAGTGAAGCGTCTTTGAGAGTCCTGAAAAAATGCTACATATAAAAGTGATGCATTATTATTATTATTATTATTATTATTGGAAGGAATAAGACAGAAAAGAAGCCACACATCTATGTCTAATTTTTTGATATAGCACAGTTTATACACAAGGAGATACTAACCTTCAGTTGTATGCACGGCTAAGGAGGAGATTATGGCTTGTTTGTGTCTGGTGTTGTTGGTTTAATAATGTTTTAAAACTACCTTTCATGTGTCTGAATCAAAAAAACAAATGGAATTAAAAATATCTTTCAACATTACATACAACATAAGTACTGTATTCAACAGCGTCATATAAAAAGAAAGTCATCAAGACTGACCTTGAGTATTTCCAACGCTCCAGACTCAGAGAACATGTCTAGGGGAGTTTGTGTTTCATATTTGCATCATTATATAAACTTATGGGATAAAAAATGTTCAAAAGGTATACCTTTGATTTCATTGTTGTTCCTGTCTGGTATGGACTTTTCTCTCCTCTGTAACAATTAGCTTTAGTGAGAGATAGTAGCTCTTGTATTTTTTCTTGTATTTTTTAAGTTCCATGTTGATCGTCTGGCCCCAATGTGTTAAAGCAGCTCTGGTTCATAGAAAGACCAGTACACAAAGTTCATCTGTGACATGTTAGTGCCATCGGTATTTGTCCACTTTCTAAAGCTTAGACAAATGCAAAGCAGGAAAATAGGTCTGAAGGTTGAATCAACAAAAACGTCCTGGATCTACAGCCCGTCCGTCTGTGTGGAGCCGATCCCTCCCCAGGTTTCTGACTTCTCCCACTGGATTTAAGTCCAAGCTCAGGCCCGTTGACCAATTGCGGCCCTCTGTGCTATCTTAATCAATCAATCAATCCTTTATTATCTCACACAGATGGAGAAATTCAGTTCGATGAATAAACATCAAGGCCGGCCGCGTACTCTAATTTTCCGCGCTCCTTATGACAGTTATTCAACAGCATAGAGCAAAACAGACACATATTTCAACAAACATGGGGAGAGACACGGTACATGTGGAAAAACATGCGGATCTTTTTAATGGGAAGTCATCACTCTGGCCCGCCTCGTCCAATATAGCGCGTCAGAGGGGAGTGTTAGTGGGGGAGGTGGAGGGGAAGACCACCATAGACTGAAAAAGAGAGAGAGGCAGACATGTAGAAGGGGGGGGGGACTGTAACTGGTGTTATGGGTTGTGAGTCTGAGATAGATAAGAGTCCAGTGTCAGCCTTGAGTGGCCGTGTGTGGTGGTGGAATGTGAAGGACAAAGATAGCGCAGGTGCCTGCAAACATTGGAGACAAAACAACACATGCCCTTGTGGGAAATTTGTATAAGCACTTTAGCTGATCAATGAAAGGCAGTGTAAACTAAAGCCAATATGTCCAAATTATACTGGAACTGGACCCTCCGTTCACCGTTATCCGGAGTTGACCACGTCAGTACGAGGTTCCACCGTGAGGCCCAAGTCCTTCAATCAATCCTTCCAAGCGTTTAAGTCCATCCAAAGATCTCACTCCCAGGTCGTTAAGGGAATGTTCGATCCGACTCACACCCCGTTGTGTCCCCACTGTGCCCTCGACCACGACTCTGACCAACTCGCGGAAACTCTCCTTGTTTTCCGCGGACAGCCGCTCGTAAATCTTCTGAGTGGACAGCCCTCCAACTTTGCGGTAGATCAAGCCAACTCCAAATCCAATCAGGAGGAACCCTGCTACCATAAATCCAAAAATGTATATATCCTCAATGTCCTCGATGGACAGTCCCGACAGACAAACGGGGTGCCACTTTTGCCAGTTGTCAAAAACGTACCCAGCAGCCGCCGTACCATCCGGGCAAACAGCATCTCCAGAACCGCCTTTACGTGATGAAAAAATAGTATCAATTGCGTTGAGGGACCAGTTGATTAATTCCATCATTTTTCAAGTTGTATACAGGCAGAAGTCTAGGAAAAAAGACAGTCAGGGCAAGCAGAGCAGGAGCAGGCAAGAGACACGTCTGACCTCGAGGAAGAGCAGGAAGAGGCCCTCTGCTGCTAACAGAGGGCCACGGTGGCTGAGTGGATAGCACTCTCGATTCTCAGCAAGAAGGTTCGAATCCCGGTTAGGAGCAGGGCCTTTCTGAGAGGAGTTTGCATGTTCTAGTTTTCTTCCGGGTGCTCCGGTTTCCCCTACCACTAAAAACATGCACAATAGATCTGAAGGTAACAAGTGAGTGAATGGATGGTGTTGATTGGAGGCTTTGATGGTCCAGTGTGTTCGGCGACTCGCTTTCGTCATCACCGTGTGGAGAGAATGGAAAAACTATCTGAACTCGGAACAATTGTAAAGCGCTTTGGGTGACCTTGGTCTGTAAAAATGTGCTATATAAATAAAACCTTATTTACTTACTTAACAAAGTTTCCATTGAGGCATTTTGACAGCGTCATCCAACCAACTTCAGCATCAATACAGTCATGCTACATCTTGTTGTAAATCTCAGACTTCCTGCAATCCAGTCGTTGGCTCCATTGTTATGGACTGACACTTTTTTTATGATTGTGTCACAACATTCAAAAATAAAATACTGTTTATGTGTGAATCAATAAGGTCGTTTCATAACCCATTTTAAACTCCAAAATCCAGTCAATCCAGTTTGAATCCAGTTTTTAAATCCAGGTTGTGTTGATGATCCAGGACACTAAACATTTCAACAGCATTTATAGACATTGGTTTGTGATTTCGGGCAATACAAGAATAAAATCGACCGACTTGAACGCACAAAAGAAAAAAATTACAGACCTGTTTTTACAAAGTTAAAAGATGTTGAATTGATTTGATACAGTCTTTGACCACCATGAGTTATTGATATTTCAACCCTGATACAGTGGTGAGCCCGTGGTGAGCCATGGATTGACTTCTTCCCTGCAATTTCACTGGCGAGTGGTAAAATTACATACATACAGACAAGCCAAGCTCTTTTCTACCGCACTAGATCAGAAATTAAAGGTTTGCGAGCGGGCACAAGTGAAAAGAAAATGGGAAAACGAATGAATATCCACCCACGAGCCGGGGTTGAGGAGGTGGTCCACGTCCCCTCGGCTTTCGTTCTGTAATCACGGAGCCCGCTACGGGAATCACGCTGCTATTGTTTGTCCCAAGCCACAATCAGGGCTGCATTGTCGCCAAATTCCAAAATACGATTAGCAGTCATCGTAGAAGTGAGCGCTTGGGTTGGCTTTTCTTTTCTCTGCAGGACAATGGCTCGCAGAGATCTGTAAACAAGGGTGGCGCGAACAGGGCTAGCATGAAATTAGCGTCGATAAACAAAGGAGGGTGGGCTGTTGTCGCTGCCGTGGAACCGTGAACGACTGGACCTGAAATATCTGAGATGGATTTTTTTGGAGTTTTTGTGAAGTGGAATGCTCATTTAGTATAGAAGAGATTGTAGATGTTTCCTTATTTTTGTATTTCATAAAGTTACATTGGACAGACTCTAGCGTTTTAGCAAGACCATGCTAATTTACAACATTTGTCCATCCATTCACTACCTGGCCATCGTCCAAGAGTTGAAATTATGGATTGATAAACAAAGGATGGTGTTTTTGCGACTGTGGAACCATGAACGACTGGATCTGAAATATCCAGTTTTTGGAGGTTTTAGGAAGTGAAATGCTCAAAGAAGAGATTGTAGGTGTCTCTTTATATGTAGAGGACTTTACAAAGTTGTCGATTCGCCAACACAGGAAATGCTATAACAGCCACCATTGGAGCCAATTCAAATCCCAACAGTAGCTATCTCAAGGACATTACAGAACCGTTGAATTCGCCAACACAGATTAGCGAATCAGATGGTCCAAACACAAGAAAAAAGTTGTCCATTCTTCTGACCAATTTGACAACCACCAACAAAGAGGCAATTTTTAGCCAAAATGGGAAAAACTGCAAACAAAAATAAATAATAAATAATCTACAGTTCTTTTCACATTCAATGTCAAATGCAGTAAATGACTTTGAGTCCTGGTTTCAGTCTGTGTCTAACTTAACCCTTTAATGTTCACTCATTGAAGAAAGACATTTTATTTTTATTTATTTTTTGAATTTTTTAAGGTGTAGGGCGACAGATCACTGTTTTATGTTTTTCTACCCCAGTGGCTAAAAACAAGTGAGACATCCCAAATATGTAGATTTCAGTTCCAATCATGTTTCAAGTGGATAAAGTGACTCAAAAAGTTATCCACCAAATGGTTGAGGAAACCATTAAAGGGTTTCAAAGATTTTCCCTGTGATGCTGCAGTTTGAATGTTTTTGTCAAGTGGCCTTTCTCCCAAGTGCATCGCGGCCATTTGTTTTCTGAAATTACTTACAACGTTGAATTTTGTACCATTTAGCCATTTGTCCGTGTCTAAAAGTATCCATCCTTCTTGTCCAATTCTTTAAACAACAGGATCTTCTTGAACTATAATCACTATTGAAGAATAATAACCAAGTTCTCACATCCTGTATTTAAAATTATAGATTTTCTTTTCCTTTCTCCGTCTCGACAATATCTTTCTATTCAACATTTATTCGACAGTGAAAATTTCATTGACTTCAACTACAACACAACTCACTTACACACTGACTGAGGTAACCCTGAAGGATGTGGCGTTCCCGGCGGCTCCATTAGCAGTAAGTTAGGAGCGTGGTAACGGCTGAGGTGGGAACCAGTGGCGCTCCGGAGCTGGGCCTCTGCCTCCACTCATCACCGGCTTCACCTGTTCACCGCTCAAACCCGTGGAGCCCACAGCCACAAACAGGAGGTAACGGACCGTAAAGATGTGTGTCAGACTTGTGCGGGTTTTTTTGTGTTCAACTTTGGGATTTTAAAATGATATTGAGAAGGCCTCAATCAATTCGAATGTGTAATAATTAGTTTGTTTCAGAATTATTTGGATGAACATGTTTGATCACCCTGGAACCATGGGCTGCACCTTTCAGTCCTGATCTGCTGCCTCAGTTCTTGATCTACAGTCTCAGTCCTGGGTCTACAGCCTCAGTCCTGGATCTACAGCCTCAGTCCTGGATCTATAGCTTCAGTCCTGGATCTACAGCCTCAGTCCAACTTTTTTAAGTCCTCTGAGACGACTGTTGTTGTGGTTCAGATCTTGAAACAAAAATAGACTGGAATTGAATGAATAGATATAAAAAATGCACTTGTTAGAGCGGTCTCACTTGCCATAATCTACACATATCTTTAGACTCGGTTATGATTGACCTTCCATCCAATCGTTTCCAGTCTATTATCGCGTTTTTATGTTAAGTCCTGCACCATAAGCTTTAAACAATGGACCAAAGTGAACCGTGCTTCCATCTGCCTTCACAAAGCCCAGCCATAATTATGCAGATCCATA